GGTGTAAATTCTGATAGCAATAGCAAACACTAATTGACAGGCATTTCTAAAATCTTTCATCAAAATAGGACAAAGCTCTTTCTCTAAATTTTATTCCTAATACTCTTAAGAGGTATTATAAGAAATCAGATCAGAAAGGCACCACAATGAGAGGCAACCACTTCTAAAGTGAAATGTGTCCATGTTTCTATGGCAATTTCAGTGAGAGTAAACACTTTAACTAAAGTTGCTGGGATAATAAACCAATCAACCTAAGTTCAACACTATCTATACAGCTGAATCTTACCTTAGGAGGAGCGCCCCCAACTGAAGGCATGCTCACTGTAAAGGTTGGTTGCTTTTCCAAAATTCACCCATAAGTTGGTTATTTGGAAATTTTAACACATATTTCTGTAGGCAAAAAAAAGTCTACAAATGCTGATTAATTCCCAAGCCAATTTACAGAAGCCTATTTAACTTATAGTGTGCCTAAAATTTTTATTTTTCAATCATACTTAAGTCATCTTTCATAGCTGTCATACCAAGATGCTTTCAGAGCACCAACTTAAGAGCCCCATTTCATCACTCTCCTGGAATACTACATATTCCTATGCCCCGGGTACTTGTTCCCTTTCTGTATCAGTCTAAAAGAGAGTACAACCCCTCACAAACCCGACTGCTTGTAGGGGCATGGGAGAAGTGGCCTGGTGTAAAACAATAGATGTGCACTCCGTTTATTGATGACAAGTCAAACACCTGCTAAATTGCTCTGCCTTGTAAAATACAGTTCAGGCCTCACAAAATCACCAAAGACAGAAAGGTTTGCCATCCCCTCCTAGAGCCATCCATCTTGAGGTGTTCTGGGTCAGGAAGTGGGGGAGTACAGAAAGGATAATTTTCCCCCCCCAAGCCATAAGGCCCAAGATTCAGACTCTTCTGCCATTCTCTTATATGTTCCTATTGTATTCAAGACTTGTGAATTGAAAGTATTCACAGACTGTGGACTCCCTGCCTCTGAAAGTCAGCATAAGAGCACAAATTCTGGAGTTAAGCAGACATGGGTATGAACCCTAACTCCACATTGTACCAGTAGCTTTCTGTGCCTCTTTTCTCTCCTTCAGAGGGTTTGCTGTGAGGATTAAGTGACATAATGTATAAAAGTCCCTAGTTTAGCACCTGACTCATAGTAGGCGGTACTTAGTAAATGTGAATAAAATTCCTCTTGCCCCTCTGAAAATAGTCATAATTTTGATATGCGTCAACAGGTGCCCAAGGCGTATCTTTGAAACGAAGGCTCAGAAACCCACTATACCAGCTCCACAATGAACGTGACAAAATGAGAATGGCCATGACACAAAATAATGACACAAAAAACACCAAAGCGATTACTTTAGCTGTTCCAGTGCTGATATCAGCACCTCATTTCCAACTCCTATCTTCCTCCCACAAACCTATGTCCATGAGATCCAAATGATGATTTCTCCTAGAGAATTCATACTTAAGTAGAATTGAAAGGGAAAAAGTAGAAGCCTTCAATACGTTACATATAATGGAAGAAAAATCAACTGCTATTCTGAAAACATGTATGTAACCCAGTTCCCATCGTCTAGTATAAGGAATGAGCTACACTGCTTTCTATTTCCAAAACATTATGGAGCTCAAGAGCCATAAACTACAATTTAAAGTGTTAAATATTTTAAACTTATAAGGTTGATACCAAATATTAGAAAGAAAAATGGTCTAATTTCTTAAAAAGAAATATATTCACATGCAGAATAGTACATAATTGTTAGATAGTATCAGTCTTGCATGTAACTAAGTTGTCATTTTAAACCACAAGTCATCAAAAAGCAATTAAGATGGAGTCTATTGCAATATTGTGGTATTCAACAATGCACTTACCAAAAACATGCAGCATTTATCAGTGTCAATGCTACCAAAAATAATCACACAGAAAAACATAGGGGGAAAATGGATGGATTAAAGAAAACCTAGTTTAAGTCTCCTATTAAATTTTTTAAAACTTAGGACTTGGCATATAAGGGAAGAAACACAACTATAGTAGAAAGAACTTTACAAAGATGTGTAGAGATAAATGTTGTTATTGTCTTTGTCAGCTCAGAAGGAAATTGTTTTCTCAACTAAAACCATGTTTTCACAAATTAGAGAGGGCAAATTTACTGAAAACATTCCTTTTGTTAATATACAAGACATTTCTTTTATTAATATACAAGATAGTCTGTTTCCTGGCATGCTAAAGGAATGCACTATTCTGGTTTGTCTAATATTCAAGTTAATAGAGAATTAACAGTCAAATAATTAGAATAGAAACAATATCCTAAACTGAGCTGAAAATAATTTAATATTTGATGATTCACAATCTTTCAGTGGCTCAGAGTTATGATCATGAATATGAATTATCACTATACTAAGGCTATTTGGAACAGAGAAAATTTAATAGTTAGATTAATATAAAATGTACTAAAGCCTTTCTTTTCTGTGTATGTTTTAATGCAAATAAAAAGAATCCTTGGCCAGACTCTGAAGAATGCATTTTTCTCTCAATATAGAATATGTGCTACGTATTTCTTATAGGATCTAGACCTTTTTTAGAGACTCTCCTTTTTACTTTGCTAAAGTGAACTAACCAGGGGGCAGCAGATTCAAGATGTAAACAGAAATGTCCTTGATCTCAGAGATTGTGTGGAACAGAACCCCATCACCTGCTTCTTCTCCATTGGAAGGGAATAAAGGCCTCTGAGAACAGACACTAAGGACCCATGCCCATCAATGACCTTCCAGGTTATTCCTGAAGATTAACTCACACATCACAATGATTTTGGACAACCCACGGGGGATCAAAAACCTTTGGAGCAAATTTCAAAATATGAGGTTTGTAAACTTTATTTAAATTTTATTATATAAATCAAGAACATCAATAACTCACCACAGATATATACAGATACATATGCTTACATATGCATGGAATATTTCTGGAAGGATACTTAAGAAAGTGTTAACAGCTATGGGGGCAGACTATGTAAGTGGGAGTGTGGAGTGGCTGGGAGTCTTCCCTTCATGCTCCTTCGTAACATTTGATTTTTTTTCTTATCATATGCTTACATTACTTTTTCAATAAAACCTAATTTAAAATAATAACAATTCACTTCATTTTCTAGTATCTTTAATTATAAAGGCCATTTATTAAATGCTCATTCTACTATTAAATAGGGAAAAGATCAAGTTGATATTCTGTTGCCTCCCTTTTTTTTGCTACAAAAAATGAACTCCAAAACAAAAGAGGCACAATTACTCAGCAAGGGTCCTTTTGAAAATATAAACCAGCACATAATACAATTTAAAAATTGCAAATTTAGTTGCAAGAATTTGTATATTCCTTACACTCTGTCACTTTTATTTTTTACAACACTGTAGAGCCTACTGTTTTTTATGATGGTCTATTTTAAACTATCTTCAGGTATTTGTTTTCACAGCACAGGACCTCATGTTGTATCAATATCTTAGAATCCAAATGTAATTGTTCCCTAATTGTGCTGTTTTTTAAGTTTCAAAATAATATGCTTCTGACCTGTGGGTTAAAAGAAAAAAAAGTGATCATTTCTTTTCTATCCAAATTCACACCCAGAATAGCACACTCCTTTTCACATAATCTAAAAGGCACAAAATAACAAAAACTACTACAAGTCATTTGCAACTACCACCCACTCTTCTTTTTATATAGAAATCTTCCTGTTGGTTTTAAACTTCCATGTGTCAGTGTTGGGGAAAAGCCTAGACAATACTTGGAGCTGGGTAGATGTACTGTGGGCACAGTCTTCCCACACTGGCAAGGGGAGTTTGAGCTTGAGAAAGAGACATGCATTATGAGATGGTTACACAGTTTAACCCTGAACAAGGGTCTTGAATGTATTAGCACACCAAGTAAATTGAAAATAGTAAGAAGTTCCAAGTCCATCTTTCACTATCATCTTTGGATATATATATATATTTACACACACACACAAATACACACACATACATACACAGTTCCATACTGACTACTTATTCTACCAAAACCAATTTTAATTTCACATGCACATGACTACTCACATTCATTTATGCTAAGAGGCCCTTTTCCAAAGCCTGTGGGAGAGTGACTTCCAGGATACCTTACCACATGTCCTGCACCCAGAAGATGAAATCTCAAACGGAAGAAGCCCCAAGTGGAAGGAAGACAGAAAGAGATAAGGGAGAGAGAAGGCTTACAAATTTCTTGCCAAATAGATGAAGAGAAATCTTGTCTGGTGGTTGACGGGTGGGGAAGCATTTTCCCTGCATGCAGCGGTAACCACAAAGACCAGGGATGATGCTTGGGGGATTGATTGCTTTCCGCTCACTCTTTCTGCAGTGCAGAAACTCAGGGCTCCACCATCGCTCTCCACTTGGCCGGAGGGTCCGCTGAAAACTCTGCCTGTCTACCGAGAAAGTTCACGCTTCTTGGGATTTCGGAACCGTTTGAGTCTGGAGGGTTGTTTTTGGGTTGGGGAGGGGGCTGTTTGGGGTGTGTGTGTGTGTGTGTGTGTGTGTGTGTGTGTGTGTGTGTGTGTGTTTCACTTGAGGGTAAACCGTGCATTTCCTTTTCTGTGCGGGGGTGTGGGGGGCTAACCTTTCTCTGGAGAGCAATGCACAACCATCCCTGGTCTGCATTTACATTGAATCCTTCCATCAACGGTTTAGTGAAGCTTTCAGAGAAAATGAGGGAAAGCATCTATCAAAACGCAAAGACGCAGAGCGGAACTTTTCCTCTGCTGTCAGGGAAAAAAAAAAAAAGTGACTTTTGCTTCTCACGGCCAAGAGCTGAGTCTGGGAATCTCCGGACGAGGAAGGAAGGTTTGGTAATGAGGGAGGTGGGAGAAAACAATGCCGAGCCTGCGATGCCTCAGACACCGCACATCCTGCCTGGATCCCGGACCCACTCACCACACATATCCACGCTCTTGGGGCGGCGCGGCCTCGCTTACCTTGATGATGCTACTGCGCCGGGGGGTCGCCCGCGCAGCCTCCAGGAGGCCAGCCTCGCTGTCAGCCGGGGCCCCTGCAGCGCCCGGCAGCGCGACCCCGCTGCGACGGTCCCTCCACCGGCCCCCAGGGGCCACAGCCACGCCTTCGCCGGAGGCGGCGTCCGGACCCACTCGGGGGTCGTCTTCACATCCGGCTGCGTCCAGCGGCGCGGGACCCTCCCTGCCCGCCGCGCCCTCGGCCATGGCCGGCGTTTCGGGCTCTCTGGGGGAGACGGCACGCCCGGCAGCGGAGTCCAGCCTCTGGGCACGAGCGCGCTCCTGCACCCGGAGGCGGCCCTGCCAGACTTTGTTTCACCGCCCGGGGGCGGCGGCGGCGGTAACTTTCTGGAGAAGAGACATCGCTTGGATAGAGACGTCCGCGGGCTTTGGTCCAGGAGGCCGGCAGTCCGCTGGGGTACGGCGGCGGGAATGGGGAAGGAGATGTGAGCTGGAGGGAGAAGGAGAGGCGAAAAGGAGAGGGAGGTGTCCGAAATGTGATGCAAACGCCCGCTCTGCGCCAGACAAAAGGCACCGGGCGCCTCGCCGGGCGGCCTCGGAGGCCGGGACGCTTGCGGCCTGAGGGGGGCCGGAGCCGGACGCCCGCGGCTCGTCGCCCCCGCCACCTGCCCGCGGACGGCGGCCCAGCGGCCCCAGGAAGTGCGGCTGCGGCGGCGGCGGCGGCGGCGGCGGCCTCCACTCCGCTCTGTTGTGACAGGGAGGGAAGACTTGTTTTGACAGCCCGTGGGGATTGGCAGGCGTCTGAGCCTCTTAGGAGCCTAACGTCGCCGAGGAGGGGTCGGCCCGACCAATCCCCACTGCGAAGGGGTGTGCCCGAGCGCGAAGAATGGAAGAATGTTCTGTAACTGGGAGCCGGCCCAGCCGGCTAGTGTACTCGAGCGAAGGTGTGAGCGCGCGCGCGTGTGCGCACCCGCAGGCGCTTCGTGTACGTTTTAGGAAGTTTAGATATTCGAAATGGGCCTGAAGATGCAACAAAATCCGGGGATGGGGGAGGGGACGAGGGAAAGAAACATTTGGCAAAGCAAAGCAATTTGGAGGAAAGGGGGTGTTGAGCCCTAATGTCAAAGTGTTTGAGGTGACAGAGCGCAGCTTCGCACCATCAGGGGTTTGCAGGCTCTCACACCAACCCTTTGAAGTCAAGTCCATGTAGAGATAAACTAGGATTTACTGGGGTCCTGGAGCTGAATAATTTGATTCAGGTTTCATAAAATGATCTTCAGTTCATTCTGCAATGTGACTAAACATAACAAGGAAAGGGAATCAGATAAAAGAGGTGAGGGTAATAGACAACTAAACCAACTAAATCCCTCTGGAGAGTGACTCCTAGCAAAGCATAGATATGATGGATGTTGATTAAGTACAAGATGAGGTGGGGGATTTATTCTATCCTAAAACATCCCTATTTTATAATGGTTCAACCTACTTTCTCTAGATAATCCTATATAGGCATATTTTGCTAGTTTCCAGCAAGTTAGCAACCAAGCAGAGATATATCTTCAGATAATGCAATGTCACTGTGATTTACCACAGAATGCTCAGGTAGATGTAAAAGATGGCTGTGAGGTTCCCTAGTTGGACAGAAGACGATGATTTGGTTTAAAGGCTTTTTAATATCCAAATCTATACTAAACCTTATTTATAACATTAATTATATATTTATTGTTAATATTTTGATAATTTGAGATACATATTCCTTTGGCTGTCCAAGAATATCAGAAATTCTTCAGCCTTTAAGACCCAGAATTTGTTAGAATTTCAGAATTTTAGAGACGCAAGGAGATTAAGGGGGTCATCTAGGACAGCCTTTTTATTTTACAGAAGAGATGAAGGCCTGAGAAGAGTTAGTTTCTTGTCTACTACTTCGTGCAGGAGCTGAAATTAGAATCTGCCACTTAACTCCTCCTGTAATCTCAGCTACTTTCTCTCTCCTCTGGGGTTGCAAGCAGTCAGAACTGGATAAGGCCCTTGAGAGGTTTCAGACTTGACATTTACCAACTTTTAGGTAAGACTGAGAAAACTCAAGTTTACCTTTTCTTTAAGTATAAATGCAGCCCAGTAACGAATGTACTGCAGATTAGCAACCTCTGGTTTTAGAACCAACACCACCCTCTAGTGAGATTCTAAGAACTGCATCTGTAATAGCAAATGCTCTCTTCTTTCTTTCTCATATGTAAAAGACAGGAAGGGAATATCAAAGTTTCCTTTTCAAGTGACCCACCTTTATTACCCCCAGAAGAAAGTAAAAGTTCTCCCAGACTTAAAATAACCATACATGTCCTTCATCTCCACTAATTAGTTCAAGGAATCCTTACCTCTCTTCTACAGGAAATATCTTTACTTGCTATCCTCACAAATATAACCTATTTTAGGCTATCATTTTTCCTTTGATATTCAACTATTACTATGTTTTACTTTTGTCTTTATATGGTTATTTCAGAGCTTCATTTTTCTTTGTTACCCTTACAAAAATAACATTCTTGGGTTGTCCTCAAAGAAATATAAATAACAGTTATCTTACTCATTATCTTGTTCTCCAATATTAATGTCATCTACAAAGACTTCCCATCCTACAGGTTTGTATATATAATTCTGATAATAATTTGTTTTTTAAAGTATTAAAATTCGTGTCACCTTATTAACATTTAAGGTCAGTGATCTTCAAAAAAGAAGAAACAAAAGAAGAAGAAGAAGCTGCTAGAAAGTACAGCATATAAGTGTACAAAATTTTTTTGTTTCAACTAGATGCTATCCAGTTGGACTTTTCTCTCTTCCCTCCCTTAGCAGCCTTCTCTCTCACCCTCATGTGAAGGCAAACACACAGTCTCAGCTTCTCTCTCTGTCAAACTCTCTCTCTCACTCACACACACACGTGCACACACATACACACCTCGTACTAAATCCTTTATTCTGAGCGTCTGTTCATAAAGGCTATTATGTAATTCATTCTGCTTTGAGAAAATGGTTGGACCCTAATCTAACAAGTCTTTCATACTATTGTCTTCTAGCATAAGTTCAGCAGGCTTTTCCTGATACTCATATTTGCAGTTAAAAAAAAAAAAAGCCACCCACTGAACCTTCTCCTACCTGGGGACAGATTCTACTCTGGCCCCATTCCCAAGACTGAAAGGTTTAATCAGATTTGGTTAAGTCAGCAGCTATTGGCACATTCCAACCCCTCCATTAATAATCCCCCCTTTCCAAACCCTCCTATACTGTTGGTGGGAATGCAAGCTGGTGCAGTCACTCTGGAAAACAGTATGGAGGTTCCTCAAAATGTTGAAAATAGAGCTATCCTACGACCCAGCAATTGCACTACTGGGTATTTACCCCAAAGATATAAATGTAGTGATCCGAAGGGGTACGTGCACCCCAATGTTTATAGCAGCAATGTCCACAATAGCCAAACTATGGAAAGAGCCACGATGTCCATCAACAAATGAATGGGTAAAGAAGATGTGGTATATATATATATATAATGGAATATTATGCAGCCATCAAAGAAACCAAAATCTTGCCATTTGCAACGACGTGGATGGAACTAGAGGGTATTATGCTAAGCGAAATAAGTCAATCAGAGAAAGACAAGTATCATATGATCTCCCTGAT